CTGAACGGCAACTACGGCACCAAGTGGAGTGAGCGCGGTGCGACCAGTCAAGCAACAATCGATCTCAACAACTGCAATGTGGGCAAAATGGCCTGATGGCGTGCTGCTCACAAGTCTCGCTTCCTGATCCGGACCGCCGAAAAAATCAAATGCATCCACCACATATTGTTTGAAATCGTCAGGTGCGGATTTTGCTGTGATAAGCAGCGCATAGGTACCTCTGACGGACAACGCTCCGCATCCTGGCCGGGCCAGAAGCAAGAGACCTGCAGATGCTGCCCCAGCTGCTGAGTGCACCAACCACGTGCCCCCGAGAGCCTGTGCGGCCCAAGCTGCTACAGAGTGACTGCCATGGTCTCCTTCCACCGGAACATCGCTGGACTTGAAGACCACAGCATAAGGCTCCTTGTGCCATTCCAGCCGGACAACATCTGGAGGTTTCATAAATTTTGGTGGTTGAACCAAGCAAGAATTACATTCGTCTCAGTCTCGTAAAAGACCACATTCAAAAGGCTGATATCATCTTACGCGATATTCGGGGCTACAGCTCCCACGAAAAAATCTACTCATGTTTAATTCTTTTGATAGGGGGGTGGCAAGTGGGTTTGCCGTAATTAGGCATCAGTTTGCCTAAATAGGGGGATCTCAATGTCGACCCCCAAAAATATTATCCTTGTTATTAGAATGACCCCCAAAAGTGTACCCCTATAGATTGCTGCTGACGAATTTGGCTTGGAGACGGCTATGCTGAACTTGGGCCGAAATCGGATGCTGTGGAGCAGGTTGGCCATAAAGACTCCACTTATACAAGATCTTTTAGTGCGCTCACCACCGGTCTGTCTCCCTGAATGGCCATTTATTCAGAGGCTGCGAAGCATCAGACGAATGACCTAAAGGTTTGTAGTATGAAGGCCTAGCTTTCCCTTCCACGTGCCTCCAGCCTCATCCCACTGAGAGCCCTGACAGTCAGAAAGTACAACGGTGAGGCAGCTCTGCCGCGCCAAATGTGCCAAAATCTGTCAAGCCTCTGCAAGAATGGCAGAAGAGGCCTCCTCCTGGCTACAACAAGTTCTTGACAGCATGCCGCGACAGGCGGACAGCTTCCTTCGACAACCTGCTGTCTAGTGCACAACCGCCACCGTTCTTTCTACCCAGGAGTACTGATGCCTCTTGCTCATGACTATCAAGGCTTTGGATACCGTGAGAGCATATGGTCAGGGTGCCTGCTGAAGAGGCCAGTGACTGCAACTTGGCTGGAGGCCATGCAACGAGAGCAGCAAGACCAGGACAAGCACCTGCACCCGAGTCGAAGAGTCGCCAGTTCAGAATGTTTCCATCATTTTATCTCAGGCTGCGGCCAGTGTAGTGACTACATGAAACCTGGAGCGAGCAGGTGATTCATCCCCTTTTTGATTGAGAGAATCGCATGCAAGATGAAATGGAAGACTGAATGGAGGATTAACTTGAACATTAAGTGGACCACAACTTATACAATGCGATGGAACATTGAATGTCAATGAAATTGGAAATGCCAGGGACATAGAAGCGGACAATGACAGGGAAAATGAGACGGACCAGCACGCAGAAAATCAACTTGTAAAATGACATGGATAATGGCTTGGCAAACGCAAATAGTAAGCGACGCACAGGTTCGCTGACATTGAAGCCAGGCGGCATATCACCTGTGAGCTCCGCTGCCTGGGGCGCCGGGTCCTCGGACCAAATGAACTTATCCTACCAGTCCTCTTCTGGTTGCTATAAATACTGTTGCCGTTATCAAGATTCGTATTAGCAATACTGTATTGAAGGCTCTTGTGCGAACAAAGCGTTTCCAAAGTCGAGTGGCTGGGCCACGGCTTTTCCATGCTGGAGGCGGACTGCGCGATATGCAGCTTGCACAGGCCTCAAACAACTTAGTTTAGCCTACGTGCTCTTCAGACTGCACCAAAGCAGGGAGTCTATCCAATTCCACTTCGACCAACATGGAGCGTGCCCCAAAGGTTTAGAACTCTGGTTGGCAAGCTGCACTCTTAGTCTCCAGCGATGTGTGCTGCCAGATGCCTCGGGCTTGTCTTCGAGGCTGCAAGTTCATTTGAAACCAATCAGAAATCGCATGCTGAGCCTAAGCCCTCACCCATAAATCCAGACTCAGGAGTATGCATGGCGGCCAGTGGCGGTGGGCTCTCCGACATCGAGAACTGGCGCAGGCCTTGTGCGCTCAGCATGAAATTGGGAGTTAGGAAAATATGTCCCTGTGCACCCATTATGTGCAGGGTTGCACAGAGGGTATATAAACAAATGCTCAAACTACTACTCAGCTACAGGGTTGGCAAAATCATGGTGCCGTATCGGGTTCATTCGGGTTCCCACTACTATGGACCCTCAAACTTAGGGTATCCAAAAAGTGATGACAATGTTGACAACGCACAACCACTCCAAACAGCTCCCGAACTTTTGGCAACCGAAAGCCCATATAACCCTATGTATCCCTCCCTATGTACCCCTACACCCGAACCCTAACCCGAAATCCCTATATACCCCTACTTCCCCTAAAGTTTCAGAGTCTGGGCAATCCCACATGGCAGCATTCGCCAGGCCACGGCTGCTAAAGATGAGGCGCAGGAGGCGGACTCATCGGCTGACAAGGCCTCATGGAAGTTTTCGTCAACTTTCGGGACCCTTTTAAGAGCGGTCTTAAAGGGACAGTTACTGTTATGTAGGAGTATATTGTAGGGTTGAGGGGTTTCCAAAAATGCGTGGCCCTTAAGAGGCTTGAAGTTGTTATAGTCGGGAGATCCAGAGTTAATTATTCGAATAAAAAAGGCTTCATCAATTAGGAACCTTTTTTTTCAGGCATCCCCATAGCATGAAGAATGACTTGCACCCATCTCATGCAGAGGGCCTAGAGACAGGCAGTAGAAGAGGAGGGCAGGTGGCGGAAGCGTCCCAACTTCTTCATGGCCTTGCCCCCTGATACACCCCCCCTTAAAAACGACCCACGACGGACCTGATCATGGCCCTCAAAACAAACCCCCCAAAACAGATCCGGGCTGGGCCCCCACAGCGGTTCTCTTGTTCTGGTGACTTTTTTTGGCATGCTGGCACACCGGCATGCGCCGTCTGCAACCGACAAGCAATCAAGCATATCGAGACCATCACTGCCAGACTCGCATTGAATTCTGCAAGCTAGCGTTTTGCTACTTGGCCAAGGATCTTTCTGATGCATCCGTTCGCCAAGTGGATAATTTCAAAACCCCAGCTGCACATCATCCGGCAGCCTGACCAATGTTGCTGCCACTTGCCCTGACATGCCCTGACCACGTCGAAAAGGTCAGGCGAAAACCCTCCCTTGCTGGCATACTCCCGGAATGGGGCCCGAAACAAAACGCTTGCCTTCGTTTTTCCCCTTGACCAGCCCGCCATGGCCCCAAACCCCTCCACAGGCCGGGGTCTGGCCCCTGGCAAGCGCCAGAATTGATCTTTGCTTTGGAGGTTCCTCCCCCCATATCCTCTTGGACTGATCAGCAAAGCTTGGCCTGAAGCCTTAAACGAAAGCTCCTGGGAAGGAAGAATTCGTAGTATCTTGGGTCCACACTCGGGCCTCCAGTTTGTGGAGAAACCCTCTCACAAATGGGTTGTTCTCAACAATATGGGCCCGTTTCTGGATCTGGAAACTACCCAAATCTCTGTAATTGAGTTTTTTTCTTATTGGGTCCTGCTTCACCACTCATGTTGAGAAGCGTCCAGCCCAGCACGTAACGTAGCGTCGGCAAGCGTTTGCATACTTCTTTAGATTTCTGTATGTTTCTTGCAGCCAACAAGCTGCTCCCGTGCAGGAGCACCAGAGGCAAAAGTTCAGGCTGGGCAACATTGATCCCTCTACAAGAGCCAAATTCAGAACGCCGAGATTCAGGCCCGCCGTAGGTAGGAAACACTCAGCCTCCGCAACTTACGGCAAAGACCTGCGTCTTGGACCAACCGTGATCCTGCACAAGGCTGGAGATTTCGTCGAACGAACCCTCTGCAACTTATGTTCTCAAGGATACCCTTGCGTTGATGGCCAAGGTCCTTGGGCGCTGCTCCTCAGGCACTGCAGTAGCCTGGCCGAGGCTCCAACCAAGATGCAGCAGAACAAGCAAATGAAACTGTGAATCCCTGCTTGGGAAGCCTCTGAGCCCAAAACCGAAGTTCTACCTTCAACTTTATACACCATTCTTCGATCTTGGGATCGCTGCATCCTGCCCAGCAACAGGCCAGCAAGGCCACATCGCAGACGGCCCTGCCCTTTCCGCCACATGCCTTCCCAGCTGAGCATCATGAATGCTAGTGCTGCTCACCCTGCCACTGCTGCCGCTCCTGCTCCTCTCCTGTGCTAGCCATTGCCACGCTATATTACTACCATCACAAGACAAATATCATCACCATCATCCTGCGCACAAGTCTCTTTTGTGATTTTTTGTGGCCAAACCAAGCTCGCCGCTGTCGTTCCCTGCGGAGGTCTGCAATCCTTGTCAAAGCTTTCCGTGGATACGCTCACAGCAGCTCAATGCAAGACTTTGGCTTCTACGAAGCCAGCCTCTCTCGCATCTGTGGCATGTAGAACTCAGCCACAGAAGAACAGACCTGGCAAACAGGAGTCTCCATGTCTTGCCCTTACTAAAGCCTTAATGGCATGATGTGTGTAGCATCATCATCACCCTTTCGGAAAACTGGGTAGCCAATTGAAGCAGCATGCGCGCCTCCCACGGCTCCATCTGACTAATCGCCTACGCCAACGGATGCTATCAACTCAGGAGGCAAAAGCATGCTGGTAGGTGCTGAAATGTCTCATCGTGTTCTTGTATCGGCAGGTGTTTGCAAGCATTCCAGCGCTCTGTCCGAAATCGATCCGCAAGCTATTTAAAAAAGAGTAGGCGCCGTGCGCCATCTGGGCGGTCGTTGTTGTCCGCGAGAGTTTGCGTGAGACTATGTGACTATGCGCCACATGAAGCTGCGCTCCGCTACTTCTTGTAGAGGTCGCTTTCCAGCTCCCATGGAAACCTTCCCCAAGTCGGTTTCTCCGCATTGTTGGCTTTCCGGTACTCCTGCGCGTGTCAGCTGCGGCTTCAGCCAACATCGAATTCTGGCAACCCACCTCCGCAGTCAGCTCCTTGCCGTCCTCATCATAATTCCTTGTGGTGAGGTAGCATGCGGACGTTGCTTGGCGCAGTGCCACGACATGCAGAGTATGCACGTGAGTGAGTAGCTGCACAAACTGCGCTGCAAGGCCCCAGCGACAAGCCATGACAGGCCAAGGTTCCACCATCCAAGGCGGCCAGAAAAAATGAGATACAGGGTGCCGAATGGAAACAGCACGAAAAACCTGAAAGAACACATATATGCTTCTCACTTGCGGGAAGACCAGGTACGGATTGTAGCGCAGACATGCAGGTTGAATTAAAGGAAACCAGCAACCTCAAGCCAAGTGCATGCTACATTATGCTGCCGAGCTGCACAGCAGCAAAGATCTGCTGCGACAGGCCCCACTTGATGTAGCTACCTTCCTCGAGATCTTGGAGAATTGTGACAAATTACTATACGATCATTACTATTTTTAATAGTAGTACTACTATTACTGTTCCTACATCTGTTCCTACTATGATTACTCTTATTAGTAGAATCTGTTCGACCTTGCCGAGAGCTCAGTGATGCCAAGGAGCTCCATCGCCGGAATCACTCAGGCCTGTCAGGACGCAAGCTCTGTGAAGCGTCAGTTGCGCTGGCAGCTCAATGCAGGTAGTAATAATAGTAGCAATAATAATAATGAGAATAGTAATGCTGATACTCATAATAATACTAATTCTAGTAATAGTATAATAACAGTAGTAATAGTAACAAGAGTAAGAATGGTAATATTGAAAAAATACTAATAATAACAATACTCATAGGAATTGTAATAGTAATAATGCGGGCCCTGCCTGAAAAAAGCTCAGCAAGGCCAGACTCGCTGGCCGCCTTCCTGGACTGACCAGTAGACAAGGGCAGAGAGGTGGCCTACACGCGCTAAGACTTATTTATTACTATTTAGGCTTTAGGGTTTATGGTTTTGGGTTTGGCTCAATATTAGCATTACTATTACAGCGACAGCACAGTTTAAGAAATCATTGGTTTAGAAAATTGGGCCCCGCGGCGGCAGCGATTATACATTTTTTGTTCGAAAGTACAGGGCAAACAAAGTTAAGAAATCGAGGGTTCCCTGACCTCGCAGGAGATAATTTCATAATTAATTTTGTTTTTGGCTCAATTGCTTAATTTGGTCGTTTTTGAAATATCTCAATTTTGGTTAAAATTGAACAGAACTGGCCAGGCCCCTGATAGAAATGATTAGAAATCGTCCAATTCGTCTCCAAAATGATCAAATGACCAGATTTCACAAAATCACCAAATTTAGGAACTTGAGGGGCTCATTTCTTAAAATTAAGAAATTGAGACCCTCAATTTCTGAATTTGGGTTCTTTGAGAATTCAATCCTGGAAATGACGTACAGGCTGCCCACTTGTGACAATCATTGGTTGCTGTAGCCTAATTGGCAAGCTCATACTCACTTGCGCGCTTAACACATCCGTTGAGGCTCAAATCCCCTCATATCATTTCTTCGGAGGTCCATCCTTCAAATGTCAGCCTGCCTGTTTCTCTCCTTTTCTCAAATTCCGGAACTAAGAAATCTACATTAAGAAATCGAGGGTACCTTCAAAGTCAGCTAGAAAATGTTTGATGAAAAATGCAGGCCTCACAATTAAGAAATCGAGGGTACCCTCATCTTAGCGTAGTTGTTTCTTAAGCAGCACTGTCACTGTACTATTATTACTAATGGTAATACTGCTATTGTTATTACTATCTAAAGGAGCGCCCACTGGTTGCTGCTTGGAGTCGCTGCTTGTGGCATGGCTAGAATCGGTGCACCTTGACATGGGGGTTTCCCAAAATTAGGGGTACCCTTTTATGGGGGTCCCTATAATAAGGACTATAGTATATTGGGGTCTATATGGGGGTCCCCTTATTTTGGGAAACTACCACATGAAGAGGTGCTTGCAGTCTGGCAGAAGGGTTCGGCGATCTTCAACCGCACGCGCCTGCTAGGTGGAAGGCTTCTGTTCTTCCCTTTGCCTGCGCCTGGCAATGAAAACTCAAACAGCAGCAGGATAGTGGCAAGGCCAATGAAAACCACATTGGCAGATACGCTGATCACCAGTGTGTTCATATGCGACCAAAATGCGACGGAATGGGCAGTATGAACTCTGACGAAGAATTGCGAGGGATTGCCGGTAGCTCTTTTGCTGTTTGAGATCGTGCAGCTGTGGTCCTTGCAAGACGAGTCCAGTCCATCTCCAAGCTCTTCAACGAGATTTGGAAGACAACAGAATGATGGCCATTGCTCTTACACATCGCTTACACCGACGGCACTGCACCAACCAGCACAGACTTTCGAGTCTTTGTGCAGGCTTTGCAGTGGGCAGTTGTCAGTCGGGCCTGTGACACTGAATCTGGATGTTCAATAGTTCGAGTGTGCCCCAAGGCTGCGCACTCTGCTTCTTCCTAAGTAATTTCCTTCGTGCTAATCCGGCGCTGTCCGCCAAATGCCCAGCTTGGACTGGCTTGACCACCACCTCTGGCGCGGGTTGGCGTCGTCAATTCCGCGAAGCTTGTCAGGGGATGTATGAGCAAGACTCTTTGAGACGGCAAGGATGAACACACATGATTCCAGAGCCATGCCCAGTGATTGCAACGATGAGAGCAAGAATACTCCTGGCAGGACGAATACCAAATCATTCTTTACGATTTTTCATCAGCTTTCAAAATGTTCAGTCATGCCATGGAAAACATTATGGACCCATTTAGCGGTGGACTCAATGCCAATGCGTGGCATCAGCCAAAATAACCCTGTGAGGACAAGGCTGTCGGCGTGCAAAATGGTCAAGCTATGTTACGATAGAAGAGATGTTGTCCGGCCTAGCCGTAAGCCTTTGGTGAACCATTTCGACGCCCTTTTCGCAATGCTTTCGCGCGCGGCATTTTTGCTTCATGTGTCTCTGAGCGTATCAAAATTCAAACATGGGTTTTTGAACGAGCCGCAAATGGAACTGCTGCCGGCTGTCGGACAGGAACCCAAAGCGCGGAAGTCGAGATTCAGTATACCTCATGTCTCGGTTCCTATGGCAAAGAAAGGAATCACACACGCAAGAAGCAACAAAACAACCCGCGGCCCACCCGCTGCTCCAAACAGGATTCCCTCTATCTTGTGGAAAAACATGTTGCATGCCACATCCCGGAATACGATGCCAAAAACTGTGTGATGTTGTGCTGTTAACCAGGCCCGAAACACATTTTTGAGCTGCGCAGGCTTTGGTCTCAAAGCCGTCTGCACCGGCGTCTATCAATCCATGGTTTTCTTGGGGGTTTATGAACAATTGTTGCCCATTCCCTACGATTTTGAGTCCGGGGTCTAGCCCTTCTGAACAACGTAAGAAACGTGAGTCATCCTAACAGAGGAGGTGTTTCGGATTGTAAAGCAGGAGTGTGAGATATCATAGTGGGAAGGAGGATCATCAGAGCTCAATTGAAACACATTCCATTCCAAATTACAAGGGTCTGCATTCTCATCTGCAATGCGACAACCCAAACCTTCAGACCACCAAGACCTACTTACTGGTGCATAGTAGGGAATATGGGAATATCTTATATAGGTATTACATAGGGATTACAGATGATATTCCCTTATTCCCTACTAAGAATCAAAAGGAAACTTGAGTTCCGGCCCTTTATAGTTTTGCCCCAGAACGCTCGAGTCCAAGCAGACGATGGCGTTCGGGTAGTAGCTGGAAGGGTAAGCAGTGTATGAGCTTTGAACACAGCACAGCATGTCACAGTCAAAGGGTATCACACGGCTGGTTCAAGCCTCATTTCTCTGCGCCACAAAAGTCTCAGCAAGCTGCCCCGCGAAGGTGCCGAAAATCTGGGATTGTTCGACAGGGCACACAGGGGCCGAAAAAAGCACTCACAGGACGCCAAGAACTCAGCTACAGGCCTTACCTTCGATTATGATTGCAGCTGAAGCGCCAGCGCTGCGACCAGAGCGCCTGGCCTCAGCGCAGCAAGATTCAAAATCCGTGCTACAAGTGCGGTATCTGTTTAATTTTCCATGTTCCGTGCCATCCGATTCTCCATTGTTTGGGGTACTGTTCCCTAAACCCTATAGAATCCCTATATTACCCGGCAAGCCGTGTATAATGCCTGTATCGCCCCATACAACCCTTCTCCAGCCTAAATTTCTCTGCTAGAGGACTTGCCCTGCCTTCTGCGATCTTTTCGGCGTGGCCACGCCATGGCAGAGTGCTGGAGATGCTGGGCCACGGTTTCTTTAGTTGCTGTGAGCTACTCGAAAACGGATTTGGGGGCGCTGAAATGGATACCAAACATGCCCAAGGTACAAAGGATGTACTCAAAGACACCACCCTCCAAGTACAACTGATTGCATGCATGTTGCTCGCACCATATCTCAAGGTTCAAGGGCCAGAATGTCAGCTTGCCTGCCTACTTGGTAACACGCACACACACCTCGTCTATATCAAAGTAGACGTCCCTTGACTCTTCCGCAGGCTACCAAGGCGGCCTCCCGGGCTGCCTGCTCATAAACCTGCCAAAGGTACTATAGTATATTGAGGTTAATGGAAAATAAAATGGAAACTGCTTGTATAATATAGATATGTATGCATTGGAGTTATTTTGGGATCATGGAACATAATTGAGGTTGATGGAGAATAAAGTGGAAACTGCTTATATATATATATGTATATATTGGGATAATGGAACATAATGGAAAAATCATGTAAAGCTGCAACTTGCTGGTGGATACCATCGTGAGCAATCAAAGAATTGCATGAAAGCCAGGCGGCAAGAAAAGTTGGACAGCACTTCCCACCTCTTCGAGAAGAGATGGAATCACCGAAGCAGCTAGGCCCAGCCTGCACAAAAGCACTCAGTGCCCATCCGAACAAAGTCAGGAAGCCCTCTCGTGTCGACGCCAAGCGCTGCAAACCCCACAGCCATGAAGCGATGCTGCTGCACTTTCCCCATGCCTGTTTGCCAGGACCTGGCATGGCATGCAACAAGCAGCATACTCATGTATTCTCTGAGCATTTTGCAAGCAAATCCCACACAGTCGCAACTGAAGCCCTTGCACGGCTCCAGGTGCACCAAAGCGAAGTCAACAAAGTCAACAGCTTGGACTACCAATGCACACTATTGATTGCAAGCTCCGATGATTCGGTTTTCACTAAGAGCCTCGGCCAAAGGTGCCAGCGAATTGTTGCCATCTCTTGTCAGCACTTGCCCGCTACCACCTCAGCTTGGACTTTGGCGATTCTGATGCCAAACTTTTGTGAGGGCCTCATCCGGACGGGATATCCAAGGCCAGCGCAGTGCAGAGCGATGAGGGAGCGTGCCAGGGCAACCGCAGTGCGCCAGGGCAGGGCCTAGTCTTCCAGCCATCAAGCTGTAGGGGAGCGTAAGAAACTGTGGCAAGGCCGCAGGAATCATGATTGCACAGGTTCATCACAGTGATGTTGGGTCCTTAAGAAGAAATCATGTATGGCAGGTCTGCGCCTCCCGCGAGTCTGGTGGAGGCAAGGCCAGCAGAGGCTGCCTCCAGAAGTTTCACAACGAGGATCCAATCGAAAAACTTGAACATGTATGGAACTCGAGCCAGACTATTTTTCAATTCTCAACATGCCTCCTGGAGAGGTAAGCGCGTGAAATGTTGGCCAGCGATCCTGAGCAGTACCAGGAATTCTTTGGGCCCACCGTTTAGATCTACAGATCTAGCACTATGCGAGTCAAACTTCACTCCAGCATCAGAAAGGTAGCATTCCCTTTTGCTCTCGTGCATTTGCATCAGACTTTGCTTGACAAGGTCCGTGCATCTTGAGACTATGCGTGTACGTCGCCACCAACTACAGCCAGGGCTGCGCACTCCATGCTTTCGCTGATGCCCTGAGATGCTTGTGCTAAAGACCCGGAGCGCATCAGTTCTTGAGGATTCCCTTGGCCAGACCACCAAACCTGAGAGGAACGTGAGATCAAGGACACCACCAGCCTTGGGTGTCCAAACCTGTTGAGTAGCCGTGAGTCACCAGGCTCGGGTGGGTTCCTTGCAAAGCTCGTGCCGGATGGCGGGTGATGCTGCCTCGGCAGCAGAAAGACACTTTTGCCTCTGAATGCGCCTCCAAAATTAGAACTCAAATATCGGGACCGGCACAGTCTTGGTACAGACCAAGAGACCAGGTGGCATCCCAGTAATCAGGCTGCTTGTAATGGCCAGGACCAGGTGCACCAGTGATCCTCGCCTGTGCGAGACCTCCACAGCAAGTGAACTAGGTTTGTGACATATAGTGAATTTGCAGTTCCTTAAGCTTGTCACCTATGCCCTTCTGTCGCGTGAAGGTAACCAGCGGAGGCGACTTGTGAGATGCTAGCCTAGGTGCAGAGCGGATATGTAGCGAAGTTCGGAAAAGCCACATTGGATTTGCTCTCCAAGGTGGGGATCATGATGCTGATAGTGGCTGCTGTGCATTCTAGTAGCTGCTTTTGGGCTGGATGCGAGAGACCCACTTCCTTCTCCCACACCATTGCTCCCACGAGATGCGTGTCGTACCTAAGCTTTGCAACTACAATGTGCTCTTGCTCAAGCATGGGAGGTCTCAGGTTCTCAGCCGCAGACTCTCCCGGGCTGAGGTCGTTGTCAATACCCGCCTGACTAAAAACTGCAGGGCAGCAGCAGCGCTAAAGCCACAAAAGCACTCTGCGAAGTCTGATGGAAGCACTGCTGCCAGCTATGCACAGCTGTCGCTACTTCGCAGCCCGGCAGCATAAATGGGCGGTCGCTTGGAAACCCCGAAGCCACGCTGGAAGTTCACCCTGTCAGGGTTTCTGGGAATGAGTGTCCGCAGATCCAGTGCAAACTACTGCCCTCCCATATTGGTTCACATGCACACCCAATCTTCCGATCGAGTGTACCTTCTATGATCTTCTATGTATATGAATGCCATATGGATACATCTGCACGCTAAAGCTAACTCTTGTCCCCAACTCTTGCAGCTTGAATGCGCAAAATGCGCGCTCACTGCACGCCGACAGCAGTGTACAGGTGGCCTCTGAAAGGAAGATGACGAATTGGACATCGACATCACCCCTCCTGTCTCCACAAAGCTTTGTCATTGTCTGAAACACGGTGACAAGCCTGACAAGCCCATGATTCAAGAAAGGGGCCCCTTCCTGAATGCCGCGCTTGAGAAGGGACTGCATGAAGGTCAGGGGCGCTTCTTCGTTTTGGAAGATTCGACCTTGTGGCCACACCGCTCAGCATTATCTTTGGATGGCCTGGAGATGGGACCAAACATGGCAATGAGCGCCGGGCATCTTGTCGAACTGCTTCACCGCCTTCTTCTCAGACTTCCTGGCGGATCAGCCATGTCTCAAATATGCCTACCCATCAAGCTGCTTGACACTTATCCACATGAGCTGACAATACGGTCACGCAAGGAGCTGGTTCTGAGGCACCGGAGTAGGAACACGCACTTACTGACTTACTGCCGCCAGCGACAGTGGGCGGGAAGTCCTCAAATCTTCCTTATCTGCTTTGGAAACAATGTTCTTGGCGAACACTTGGCCTGACAGCTGGCTGCCACACCGCCAGGATTTTGAAGCAAGATCTACCTACAGAGTCCCAGCTTGCCTGAAGCTGCACGGATCTGCACGGTACCAACATGTGTACCCTATGTATATACTAATACGTGGGCCATGTGCCGAAGTTGCTGAATCAGAGTGCTGCAGTTCCCGGTGCGGGTCGCCTTTCTCAATGTGCTGCAAGATCAGCTCGGTAGCCTCCTGTGGGGAGAGCTGCGCTGGGACATGGTCCCACGGGAGCTGCCTTGGCAACTTACAAGGTTTACTTGGGGGGTCAGGGGGACTTCATATGTAGGTCAACAATATGTATAAGTAGGGTTACTATGGCTACTATATGGATTGTAGGGGTTACTAACCTACTTATTAAGTCCCCCTGACGCTCCAAGTACTCCTGCAGCCCGCCCTTACATTTCCGAGGTGTGCTGGAAAGTGCTTTTAAATTCTACCAAGCGGCTCGTCCCGAGGCATGCAGGGCACATAGAGGGCGGGTGATGCTGAAGGCCATCACCCTTCTGGAGCCAGCAGATATGTGGCCACATACAAAAGAAAGCCAACCATGGGAAAGCGAACTGCCAGCGACAACTCGTCAAGAAGGCCCATTTTGAGTGCGACAAGACAGCATCAGCTCAACGAAATATTCACGAAAACACATTTGGATCTAAGCAGATTCTGCTGCGGAGCACACTGAGTTGGGCAAATGGGTCTACTCCTCGCGCACCTGCAGCGAAGCAACTGCCCTGCACACTGCAGCCCTGCGAGCAGCGCAAGAACTGCTGGCAGTGCTATCTGCTGAAAGTGCGTGCCGAGGAGTGTCCAGTCATCTGCACCTTGGGTAGGGACCTGCCCGTCACATTGGACAGGGTTGTCAGCCTGCTGCCACGCTGGGCAGAAGCTCACTTAATGCTGGCGGAGCAGCGTGAGTCGTGGAAACCTGTGCAAAGCGTGCAGCAAGAAAGATGCACCGTGGCACTTCTGCGCTTCTGCCAGCCCGCGTGCCTCTGCTAAAGGAGGATCTGCACCTGGTAATACAGTGGCTGCCCCGGTACTCTCAGACTGGGCTTTCCCGCCTGGTGGATGAATTTTGAAGCTGACCTCAAAGTGGCCCTGAGCACCCCATCCAACGAATACACAATTTCGCTGCAATCTGTGCATTCAACAAATCAAGGGCGTTGATCATGACCCTGGCTGCTGTGCCTTCTCGTTCCGGTGCTTGAATCCGGTTAACTCCTCAAGATCAGGTCACTCTTAGCACCGGCGGCACCTAAAAAGCAGATTGCTCTCAGGGTGTTCACAAAACCATGAAGAAGCATTAGGAGCTATTGCCATGAACGTATCTCTCTGCAACGCTCTCCCTCAGAAATCTCATAGGATGCTTCACCTCGGATTTGCAGTCAGGGAACCAGTCGTCCCAGCTGGGCCGTGGATTTGAGTACTGGGTACTCAGTGACTGCGAGACACCAATCCGACAAACCTCGAACTGCAAAAGCCATGTCTTTGACAGATTTGTGGTCATTTCACATGCTGTGACCGTCTGACAATCATATATTTTCCTGTTTATCATACATACGTAGATGCAGATGTAAAAATGTCCAAGGATGCAGATATGCATCATTTAAAGAACCCCATGCCCACAGACTAACCGCAATTTGCGCGTCAGAACAAACTGCTGACCATGCCCCTTTCAACCCACCCACCCCTGATGTGCCTACATGTTCCTCTCTTACAAGAAAATACATTCTTGGTCGAAGAATTTGGGGGCGTATCCGACTTGAACCACCTCTTAATTAGGATTAACATGAAATGCATAGTCATCCACGACTAGAGCTGAATGGAGCTGGGTTCTGTTTGTCTCCGCTTTGGACCTACGTGAAATTCAGAACCTCCAACAACTGCTGATCATTTTTCTTGAGATTCATACGGCTAGTTGTCTTTCACTGTTTTTCAGTCAGGACTACGAGTACTCGAGATTCTGTGGGATGTGTGCAACGTTGGATTCTGCTTTTGTTGAAGCGGCTTATCATAAATGCTGGCCGCTCCACTTAGATAAGGTTGTTAATGACTGCCAAGAACCAGTGCAAATTTGATGAGTCGAAGTTTTGTCCAGCCCATATGCTTTAGGATTTAGGATTCTCCAAGGCTAGATAGAACTTTTTGGCAGCCTCTTATCTGGTCTTACCTTGCGAAAGGGGTTTACATCCTGCTGGGGCTTCTGGAAGTGCCTGAAGCCCCCAGGATTGCAGAAGTACTGTGTTTTGCTTGTTTTGAACTAGAATTGGCCAGAACAGCACTTTTGCTAGTTCTGTTTATCAGCGCGCTGTACTGTCCCCTGGGAGGACAACAATGCAATACTGTCGCAGAAGAGCCCAAATTTTGTGTTCGAACCCGAGCGACCTGGTTCCCAAAGATTGGGACAATCGTGACAGCTTTTGCGCAATTTTCCGCCAAACAGATTGGGAAAAGCAAGCTTGCACAAATGATGCCGTCGCGATATTTTCCGAGGGCACAACAAACAAAAGAACGCGATGCTGTCCTGATCTTTTGGGCTTGCACTCTTCCAGAACTCGTGCATCAGAGGATCCTGAAAGATTTCACGATTGGACAATGCCGCACGTTCTGTTTGAGACTTGTTCTTGGAGCTGCAGCACTTTTTTCGTGTTAAAGCAAGCTGTTTCCAGCGATCTCGAGGAGCCTGAGCCCTAGGACTTGTGCAGAGCTTATTTACTTTCGTGTTGATCCGATAAATAAATCCACATGCATTGCCAGAACCCCGTGCCCCGCCCCATTTGATGACATGGCTACTGATCAAAACCACATGCCCCGAGTGCACGTTCCTATGCTGCCTGATCCGGAGGGTCTGGATCGCA